GTAATGATAAATCAGCCGTGAGTCCCATCACCTACCTCACCGCACCTTTCCAATAAGAAAGTGTGTGGTCACGGTGCACCATGCAGGGTCTCGAAGTGTGTATGATATTCTGAGTGTTTGCGGCCATTATTTATAATCTGTTCTTAGCCATCTCCAGTATTGAAGACACGCTCACAAATCTGACTTAAGGACAGCTGTAGAGCAGTCCTATATGTTAATATCTCACACACATACATGTATCCTGATGGACTTGTCAGGGCAAGTTTGATCTCAAGATTGGGTGAGTTATCAGTTGTCTCAACCAGATCAATGAGATCAAATAGAGACTCTCTGAATTTGAACTTTAGGTATTGCTCAACCTTAGGGGTTTGTCCCCTTCTGTTGTCAGTCTGACAGAAGTCAAGCCCTGTCTGTCTAACCTCATAGGACTCCTCGAAGCTTCGCCCAGATGCACTGCCTCACTGAAGGCTGAGCTAATTGTTATTTTTCACATAACAAATCAAATCAGACTGACATGAGACTGAATCATGTTAAAACTACACGCACGGCTTCAAGCCGTTCTTATCCGCTTGACAGTGTCACCACAGAGGTCCATCTTAAAACGCGGTCAACATCGTCGGTGACCTTGGCTGTTTCCGATGGTACAGGTGAAAATAGTGATGGACAAGTGTTGCTGTCCTCTTTTATGGGGAAAACACCCCTTGAGACTTGAGAAAGAGCTTTCAAAGTCATTGCCAGTCTCAGATTGAGGGTGGTAAAAACGCTGGAGTCCCCCCCCCACCCCCCCCACCCTACCCCGCTCTTCTCTCTTTCTCGAAGGGAATGGAGGTTAGGGAATTAAGAGCTTGCCCGAGAGTCTTGTGATCTCACTTCGTGTCCCATGTTGTGACAGGGAAAATTCCTTGTCGTGTTTGGCTTCGTTTCTTTTATCGCCATCACCAGCTGCTTATCGGTATGTCCGAGGGAAAAGAATTTCGGCATGTCAAATGACTTCTTTTGAGGTCTTTGGAATACTACATAAATAATACTTCGAAAATACTTGATTCTTTTTTTTTTTTATAAGAACGAAGTAGCAGGTATACTAAACTGTAGGAAAATTCCCTCCAGTCTTTATCTTCCTACTTTTGTGTGATGTTGAGTTGACTGTCCTTTGGAGTTTCTATTTCCAGCTATGCCATAAAGGAATGTCACTGTAAAGAGGCTTTTAGCATTTGCTACCCAAAGGCAAACTATAAATCCGAGGGGAGGGGCTCTCCTGTCCTATGGTAGTTAGGGAGAGTGTCTCCTCAAGAAATTCCCTGTCATCAGGGCACTGGAACAACACTTGAGGAATGTCGGAATTCAGACTCCTCCCTATCGAAACATCTGTCCATTCTGGGCTTTGACACCTCTCTCTGAGAATGGGCCCCAAGAAAAGCGGATTGACCGCTGCCCGTGCGCCAGGCACCTCATCACCATTCCAGCTTCGAGACAGATGTTTCAGGAGTTTCCTTTCAGACATTAGGCTGTGGCTGCAACGTGTCCAGCTTCGAATGACGTGATGCTGAAGGCATTCTGGTCATCAGACACGCTGATAGTCCTTTGGCTGTGGCTTGCAGGAGGCCATCGGACCCACTTCATTTTGCTAATGGTTTTATGATTTTGACCAGGAAGGGGAAACGTGAATGGATGCTGACCCTTCTGGTCTGCTTCTCTGTGAAGGTTACATTTAATTAATTTGTCTCACTGGGATTGAGCCCTGAATTCATTATCTTTGGCACTAAGTGAGTTATTAGGGTAAGGGATACACGGCTATGCTCTGCAGATTATGAGCTGACCGTTAAGGTTTACCTGACCAAGCTGAAGTCTCATAGGTAACACAATTCAGAATTGAAAGGATCCCTTGAGACCGAACTCTTCATTTTTCTGCATGGGCTCCCCCTCCCCCTCCTTTGAGATGGTCTTTCTGTGTAGTTCAGGCTAGCCTTGAACTCAAAGTCCTCCGTCTCAGTCTCCTTAATTTTTTTTTTTTTGATTTTTCAAGACAGGGTTTCTCGGTAGCTTCTTAGTTCCTGTCCTGGAACTAGCTCTTGTAGACCAGGCTGGCCTCGAACTCACAGAGATCCACCTGCCTCTGCCTCCCGAGTGCTGGGATTAAAGGCATGCACCACCACTGCCCGGCTTTGGACTCCTTAATTTTTAAAAGAAAATTCCAGTTTCTTGCCTGAGTCTCGCCGGTGGGTGATTGCCATCTAACACAGTCCCCAAACTCCTGCCCAGATTGCTCACCATTGGCAAAGCAATGGATGCATGCTAAACCATCCTACATGCCATAACCATCTGAAGTCCATTGGCTTGACATTCAGCTCTGTTGGCAAATGGCTTCCTCATGGTGTAAATATTCTAGGGAGACCTGACGGTGTAGCTGCTCAGAATGAAGTGAGTTTAATAAGAATCCGCCTTTTGTCTGTCCCCAGCTGGCGGAGGAGCGCTTCATGAGAGGCCCCTGTGGGTGAGTGTTTGCAGGGGGCCTTAGGTCTCTGAAGATTGGTGGAGTGAGGGGGAGCATACAGGAGTGTCCGATAAGGGCTGCAAGAAGTGGATTTGGGAAGGAGCTGAGAACAGGCTTTGGTTGTGGTTTTCTGAGCCTAGCGTGGCAGCACCGCTGTCGCCCGGTGGGGCGGTTCAGTCTTTCACATGTGTGAGAGAGCAGGGTGGCTTTAGCTTTCTGTCCTATTTCAGTCTGTTTCTGTCTGACTTTCCGAGTGTTTCCGGCTTAGCTCGAGTGTGTATTCAAGGATGCAGTAGAAATTAAATTTACCTGCTTCAGGGTACCGAGTGAAAATAGAATCTTAATAACAACCTTCCTGTCGTTTCTCAGGCATCCCGTTTGATTTCAGGGCATCATGTCAAGGGATTCAGGAAAGCTGGCGTGTGTCTGTGTGTGCACAACTTGGCAACCATCTGCTGCTGTGATGTACTTAAGTCAAATTGTGGGTTCTCTAGGGACTCATTAAAAAAGTCGGTAGCTAAAGACAGATTGACAACGCTTCACACAGCTTCGGGAATCTTGTCTTGGAAAGCGTGGATGTGGAGCAGCCTGGATTTACATTCATGTCGTTTTTGGACTGTGGAGCTCAGGAAGGTTTTTAATCCTGCTATATGACTGGAGGAAAATCTATCAAAATAGCCCAGCTGTTAGAATTGCTTACAGGTGCACCCTGTGGATCTGGATGGAAAAGCCCCACATTTTAAACTAATAAAATTGTTCTGCAATTATATGGTGCTTTACTGTCTTAGGGTTCACGAAGTATTATATGGAAATGACTGTTTCCAAAGATTGCTTTAAATTGATGAAATGGCTTCCTCTCTGTGGTGCTTATCTTTAATATTTGGGATTTTAGAGTCTCTACAGTCTTCTTTTGAGCAAAAATGGAACTGGTCAGGGTGGTGTTCTCCTGACTGTCGTTATACAAGGGACAGAGAAAGGGAAACCATGCCACCAGTGGGAAAGCCTAGAGCCCTGGGTATGGGTAGCACAACCAGCCCCAGAGCATCTCAGGGCAGGAGGGTTGCTTGTGAGTTCACAGTTTATGCTCTCCCCCAGGGGTAGCGGGGCAGGGGCGGTGTTATCTCTTTGTGCATGGAGGTGCCACAGGTCGATTTACCTCCAGATGGCCAGGACTCAGACACCACTGTGGGCAAGAGAGACTGGTCCTGTCTGCGAAACAGAATGTACTTTAGAGAAAGGTTGTCCCAGCTCTTCTGATTGGCTATAATTTAGAGATGTCACAGAGGAAGGTTGTCCCAGCTCTTCTGATTGGCTATAATTTAGAGGTGTCACAGAGGAAGGTTGTCCCAGCTCTTCTGATTGGCTATAATTTAGAGGTGTCACATATTAGCAAACTGGATATTCCTTATAAATCGCCTGTTCCACAGCAGAACAGCCATGACCTTTTTGATTCCTTCTTTACAGAAATGGGATACAAATAATTATACTAGCTTATGGTTTAATTAGCATGGCTCCTGCAAACCTTAATTGGGCCTGTTCACTTTCTATGAGGAACTTGCTACCATGGTTAATGAATGTATTAATGTCCAGTATCTGTATAAATTGCCATTAACTATATGGCTGGCACAATATTTAGTGGACACTAATTCAGATTCATGGCATCTAGGGTTTACCCAACTTCAATGAAACATCTTAATGTCATCGCAGCAGCTCAGGGTGGAGTTGTTTATTGACTTATCCACGTACACAGACTTGAAGGTTTGACCGGCATTTACATGAACATCGATACCAATAAAGACGATTAGAGAGAAGCAACAAATCCGTATCAGTGGTAGTAAGGCACAACCTGAATCTGAGGGTTTGTAGAGAGGAAAGGGGCGAGAGTCCCTGCTCCCCATTAATAACAGACTTAGCTCTTTAGCCACGGGGCACACCGCCTGCTCAGTTGTTTAGTGACTTTACAGTCAGAAACCGAGGCTGTTTTCTCAGCGACTGACAGCTCCTCTGGCATCAACCTCAGGACAGTGATTCTCAATGTGAGATTCTGGAACCTCTTGGAGTGGTTTGTGAGCTGAAACAAGGCTATTTTGATTGTGTGGCTATTTTTGCATCAAAACTTGAGCCAAGGCTGGCACAGACGGAAATTTTACCGATAGCGTTTTCAGAACTGTTACCGGGGTATATGGTTGCACAAGGCTTCCAGCTTTGGGGACATCAGATGGGAAATGCTTGGGGCAGTTATGGAAAAGTAGTCTCTGGAGCTACCGGTGACTCCTTACATGTTCAGAACCAATTTGAGGGCCAGGCAACTGCCTTAAAAAAATAGAAAAGTTGTCTGGAATTGGCATAGAACGCAATGGATCTCCTACACTCAGAAGTGGCATTTTTGAAGTAAATGAAATGGAGGTGGGGAGAAAGTTGTGCGTGTGTGCACAGACACACATGCGTGCACACACACACACACACACACATACCTGCGCACGCGCATACACACTCCCAGTCCCTATGCTTGGGAATGCTTTGTACATAGCAAGTAACAAAACCCTTTCCCCCAAAGAGATGCTTCGCAGCGAACTGGACGTGAGGAAACAGAAGCGGAGGAAAGGGAAATGAAAACATACAGATAAACTCGGCATTGCATAAGCATGTGTATAAAATTTAATGGGTTCCCGATTCCATTTCATAGAAATAAATTTCATCTGTGAAAACCAGGTTCAGAACGCCCACGAAACACAGCATCAACTTCAACGACCTCAACTGTCCAAGCAACATGTAATTCCTGTCCTCACTGCCACCTGGAGGAAAAATGCTTTGCTGTAATCTGCATCTGAGATCTGTATAAATTATGCTATGAATATACGATCATATCTGTGTTCCCAGCACACCAGGACCTCATGGCTAAGGGAGAGAAAGCTGGGGGGAACTGGGGAAGGATGGGCCAGGGTCTAAGCCCCTGGAGTGGTCCAGTGAGTCACCAAGGGGAGGAACACTGGGATGGGAAGGTTGGGGCCTCCCACGTATTGACATCCATGTCCACAATTGGGCATCTTTCTATGCTTCTATGGATCACTGCTACTTACTTTTTTTTTTAAGGTGATCAGATCTGAATTAATGGAAAGTCTGAAATACAAGAATTTCAATCTTGAGTTTTAAATCCAGTAGGAAACCTCACACTCGGTATTTAACTTTTAGTAGGAAGATTTTCTTAAGGCATGAGGTATGTTAACAGGGCATTTGAATCGCTGGATCGCTACTGGTGTTTCATTCTACGCAAAGCACTTGAGATGTATGCATTTCGCTTAGATGAATATATATACACGTTTTCACTATACTACGAACTATTCACGACTGTTTTTTTTTTACAATAGGCAATGAGTTAGAACAATTAAAAGCCTCTAACCACAACCCACAGCGATGTCAGCTTATGAGTTTTCTTTTCCAAATATAATGAATGTCTCTCCCCATGCTAAGTCATTGCAATTAATTCCTTCATTTCTGTCCCCTTGCCCCCTTGAATGGCTCATGTCCACCAGGCAAGGAAACATCTACGATTCCCTCTATGAGACACGGAAGCAGCTAGTCCTGACTACACGGAAGCAGAGAGCACACTAATGCGGAAAGAAGCCTTAGGGGACTGTACAGCGGACCATGCACAGAAACTTGACGCAACCAATCCGGGCCTTGTACTGATCGCTTTTTTAAAAATGGCATTTTCTTCTTTTGAAAGGATAGATGAACCCATGCTCCAAAACCTTTCTAACGCATCTTGAAAATACAAGTTTTGCTTATTATTATTATTATTTAAATGTGGCACTTCAAAACAAGTTGGCACAAAATGAAAGTGATATTTGGTCTCTGGTTTGTGGTGAAGCCATTCAGTCCGTCTCTCTCCGGGAGGGCTCCGGCTCCTCCAGGGGGAGAAACTAGTGTGGCCGCAGGGCTCAGGGCCCTGGCTGGGTGACCTTATTCTTGCTTTTCATCACGGTGTCCCCAGGGGCAGCGGTGGCTTCCAAGGGGAGACCCTGCTGCTGATAGCCATAGTTGACGTTCCCGCAGGGGAAGTGGCGCAGCCTGAACAGCGGCACCTCCTTCATGGTGGCGCTCAGAGCCGATGGCTCGAGCAGCAGCGCAGCCCCCGGTCTGCGGGGTCCCTCGCCCGGCCCGGTCCAGCCACCCTCTGCCGCTTCTGCCCGCGCCTGCGGCTCGGCGCTCGGTGGGGGATGGGTCTTTTTGGCTGGCTTCTCCGTGAACCACGAGCCGTAGGTGGGGTTCCACAGGCTGGTGGGCTTGTTTCTGGAGCCCGTGCTCTTGTGCAGCTCCGGGGGAGGGTTGGGCTGCGAGAACGCCATGTTCACGTGGCCCCGATCGGCCGCCCCTCGGGGCACCCGACTCGCAGCCGCACCCACACCCGCTAACGCTCCCACGGCCGCCGCCGGGGGCTTCTTCACCAAGGGACCTGGCGCCGCCAGGGCTGCGGGCTGGGGGAGGGCGGGCGCCTCCTCGTGCTTCGTGGGCTGGGGGGACACCAGCAGAGGAGGCATCCCCTCGGGGTCTTTGGGCCTCATGGGCACTTTCTCCTCCTCCTCCACCACTGGGCCATATTCTATGGGCAGAGCTGTGTTGATGACATCCGGATCCTGTGGGAAGGAAGGAGAGCGAGAAAGGACGGATAAAAATGGAATCACAGAGTTGTCGGATCTCAAAGAGATCTCAGAGAGAGTAACATCTGTTTACAGATGAGCCATTTTTTTGTCAACTAGACACAAACTAGGGTCGCCTGGGTAGTACCCTTAACTCTGCATCAGATGGGCCTGTGGCCATGTCTGTGGGTTCTTTTCTTAATGACTGATGTGGAAGGGCCCAGTCCACTGTGGGCAGTGTCACCCCTGGCAGGAGGTTCAGGGTCATCTTAAAATAAGCGAGCCAATGAGCAGCCTTCCACCATGGTCTCTCCTTTAGTTCCTGCCTCCAGGTTTCTGCCTTGATCTCCTGCCCCGGCTACCCATGACTACAGACTGTCAAGTGTTAAGATGAAGTGAACCTCTCTTTCCCAAGATGCATTTGCTCGTGGTGTAATGTAAATACATTAACGGGTAGGCCTAAGCAATGGCTGAGCATCACTGTTCTTGAAAGCCTTGGAGGAAACCATCCTAGGAGGAGAGAGTACCAGGGGCTTATGGGTGCTGGTAAGCACCCACCCCTGGGACAGTGGAATAGGAGCCATGAAGCAGAGGCCCTGGGACAATTTCTTTTTTACAGATTTAAAAAACTTTATTAGGTTTTAATTTATTGTGTGTATGTAGATGCCTTTGGACATTCATGTGCCTGGTGTGTGTGGAAGTCAAGGACAGCCCGATGGAGTGGGTTCTCTGTCTTCCACAACGTGGGTCCTGTGGATCAAACTTAAGTTATTTGGTTCTGGCAAGCAAAAACCTTAACTAGTCGAGGCTCCTGAGTTTTGTTTGTTGATTTTGTTTTTAACGTTGATTTAGCAATATTATGGTCTATTCCCAATAATCGTCTCGCAACTTAAAAGACAAAAAGTAGTGTGGTTTCTGTTCTGCTGTAGGGAGGGTGGCAGAGGAGAAGGATGCCATGCTTGGCTTCCAAAGGGTGTCCTTTGCTCTCTCCCCAACACCTGTAGTTTCCCTCATATTTGGGTGATCAGCCCCTGGTGGTGACTTCATGTTGTATGTTATTGCATGTGCTGCTGTCCCCCTGTAGAGACACATTTGCTCATTTAGACGTGACGGGGCTTTTGTGGAGTCTAGCAAAGTCTCAACCATGATGTGGAAAAGCCATTCACAAAAGCAACTTGGTGCTAGACTATCGCCGTGGTCATAGACTGTAACAGAAAAGCGGACACAGTTGCCAAGGGTTTAAGGAAAAATTGTGGGTGAAAACTCGGAGGAAATTTAGTTCAATAATAGTATATGAAAATGGAGGGGAAACCTCCATTACTTAAGTTTTACAGAACAGCACACAGGTCCGGTATCTGTCAGCAAAGGGTTTAAGAAAACAGCATCAGATATCTTTTAAAAAGCCATTTCATAGCTTGGCGGTGGTGGCGCACTCCTTTAATCCCAGCACTCGGGAGGCAGAGGCAGGTGGATCTCTATGAGTTTGAGACCAGCCTGGTCTACAAGAGCTAGTTCCAGGACAGCTAGAGCTGTTATACAGAGAAACTCTATCTCGAAAAACCAAAACAACAAACAAACAAAAACAAAGCCATCTCATTTCTTGCCTGTTTCTGACTCTCACAGTGATTAAAATAAACAGCTGTAGAATCACCTGCTTTTGCAAATCTTGGAGAAAACACCCCAAAGAAAGGTATGAATGTGTATATGTGTTTATGAGTGCATCCTATTCCTGTTACAACATAATAAATTAAATGTTATTAGGCAAGGTTCCCTGAAACAGCCCCGAGATAACATGGTCACTGAGTCCCATCTTGATGAGAGGGTTGAGATAGCATGACTAGATAGACAGCTGCTGAAGTCTGGAGACGCTGTCAGTCCCTGGTCCCAGTCGGGAGAACTTAGAGACATGGTGGCTCATTGTTTGACTTTTCTAAAACATCTCCGTGACGTGGCCACCCATAGGTTTTCCACGCTCCAGCAGACGACCCCATCCCCATGTAAATACGGTGTGTGACTGGTTTTATGTCAGTCAGCGCAAGTTAGAGTCATCCGAGAGCAGGAAACTCAACTGAGAAAAGTTTCCACAAGATTGGGCCATAGGCAAGCCAGTAGGGCTTTTTCTTAATTAGTGATTGATGGGGGAGGGCCCAGCCCGTTGTGGGTAGGGCCATCCCTGGGCTGGTGGTCCTGGGTTCTATGAGAAAGCAGGCTAAGCAAGCCACTGGAAGTAAGCCAGTAAGCAGCATCCCTCTATGGCCTCTGCATCAGTTTTTGCCTCCAGGTTTCTGCCCATTAATGGGCTATGGTATGGAAGTGTAAGGCAAACAAGTCCTTTCCTCCCCAGATTGCTTTTGGTCAGTGTGTTCATCACAGCAATGGTAACCCTAACTGACACATATGGGTAGCACTAATTGGACTTAATGGGTTATCCGACGGGCACGCAACTAAGATGAGCAACAGCAAAAAGAAGATTCGAAGTTGGGAAGGGGCCATGTTTGGGAGATGCCAAGGAGATGGAGGGGGTACAGTGCACGCGGTGGGGGTGGGGGGAGGGAGAACGTAAGTAGAAGTTAAAGGGGGAGGGTGTTGAGGTATAGGGAGAATATGCTGATTTAATTTTGAACCCTGATAAAGCTCAGAGTCTGGAGGGAGGGGAAGATTGGACAGAATAGAGAGAAAAGCGGAAACTGACGTGAAGTCCTGAGGGGTAGCTGGTGATATCCTGAGAGGGAGATGGACTGGGGAGCGGGGTCGCTGCTGGCAAGTATGTGCCAGAGAGAGGGAGGAGAGCATCCCCCACCCCACCGCTATCCCCATGTGATGATGAGTGAGGGGTACCTGCTGAAGATGAGGTGAACACTCACACTTCAGTCTAGATGGGGGGAAGTGGGAGAGGGATCTACAGAGAACCCAGGACTGCTAGGAGTCCTTGTGACTTGGCGAGCTTCTCCAAGCCCAGTGCCCTCCTCTGTGTAATGGGGTAAAATGAACCCTCCATGAAAACAACCTAAAAAGACCCGGGAAAGTGACTTGTGTGGTATAATCCCATACAAGTGCTACTGATGGATGGTTTGACGGTTTCTCCTGATTGCTGTAGCAATTATCCAGTTACTATCTATCTACTTAATGTGATTATTTGTCTAGCAAGCTTGGAAGTCTTGAGAGCTTTCATTCTCCTTGGAAAACCCAGCTTCAGCTACAGATCATTAGCTACCTAGCTATCCTTGATGCTACAACAAGATGGCTGCCTAAACAAGACCCGGACATCAACAGACACTTAACGTGGAAAGGGGAAATCTCAGAGGCTCCAAGCCTAGACAAAGAACAGTGGTCAATAATGATGGCTCCCCAGGGTGGAGTCCTCTAATTGGTTACTCAATATCAAGTGGTTGACCCTGAAATCACATATATACAAGGAACACAAAATGGACTCAAGAGATTGTATGTATATGTACATATATGTAACAATAACAGTCAAAGAAAAAGAGGTCATGGATTTGAGTAAAGAAGCTGGGTGGGGGTGGTTGGAGAGGTTGAGGAAAGGAAAATGACGTAATTATATTTTAATTGTTAGACGATGACAGCGAAAGCCATTCACTATCTAGAGGATTAGCTAATGCTTTTGAGGTGAACAGAGTCTGCCTGGCGCTATAACTAACACGTGGCGTTTCCAGTGTCTATTGTAGGGCATGGGCAAAACGAGATGCCAATCATACCATTTCAGAGATCACGAGTATCGAACCTCACAATCACCAATCCTAGACTATAAATATAAAATATCGAATAATAGAAAACGTTCCAATGGAGATTAAAGTCTGGACAAGGGGAGGAAACATTTTACCTGGGTGCAGTACTCAATCCTCTCTAAAATGATGGCAAAGTTGGGTCTGTCTTCAGGTTGATGCTGCCAGCACTGAGTCATTATCCGGTAGCTGAAAGAACAGGCACGGTAACTGATCAGGTGCACCCGGGGAAGGCCTTGTCGCCCCCAGCTCTTTTCTCAATCAAGCCAAAGCTTTAATGATGGGAAGCCATCAAAGTCCACGTGGTTGATCTATTCTGCCCCCTGCTGGTGGGAGAGGGAATCACGTCTAAACGTAAGTCTCCTGCAAGATACCCAGTTGTTTAAACATCAAATCCCACTTCCTGAAGCCATGTTTAGGATGGGATATTTTTATTCCCCATCTTGTTTTTGGAAAAGAGGTGAGGGGGTCCACAGGGGGCAGAAAAAAAAACAAGGAAAACATCAACAACAACAAAAACAAACCATACACACACGGGGCAGTGGGGAGAACTATTTAAGGGCCATTAGAGTGCTGGGCTGACCGAGTGTGTCTGGGACGCACATTTCGAGGGGCGATTCTGAAATGTAAGACTAGCAAGTCCACAGCCTCCAGCCTGGCAATGGACACCTTTCTGGGGTGACATTATTGTATCTGAAGGGCTGGAAGACCCCATCTTACTGAAGTCTGTGGCACCCTGTGTTTGGGGACATCCTAAAAGAAGGCTACCACTTCCCCTTTAATAGTAAAAGATACAAATACTTAAAACCAAGACCGTGCTTAGTTTCTAGTAGGAAGTTCCCAAAGGTCATACACAGGCCCGGGGCAGTTCTTAGGCGGGTCCATCCGTCCTCCACTGGTGACAAACTCCAGAACTTCCTGGTTGCTCTTGCTGGGGTATGGCATATACCCAAGAGAAAATATTTCCCACAGCAACACTCCGAAAGACCTGGGCATGGAACAGAAGACACGGATATGGATGTGCATGCATGCACACACACAGACACTTAGGTTTTTAGTATGTTTTTGATTCTACCATTTTCTGTAACAAAGGGCGCTGTGAGTTTGCATGCACTTGCATGTACACACGCTTGTACACATACACTGAGCTCAAACCACAACAACCTTAAGTATTGTTTCTCGGGAACGGTCTACCTTGTTTTTTGTTTTAAATAATTATTTACTTTGTATTTGAGTGTGTGTGTGTCCGCTCGTGTGTATGAAGGTGTTCATAGAGGCCAGAAGAGGGCATCAGATCCCCTGGAGCTGGAGTTACAGGTGGTTGTGAGCCATTCAGTGTGGGAGCTGGGAATTGAATCCAGGTCCTCTGGAAGACCAGCAAGCTCTCTTAACCATGAAGTCTTTTCTCTTGTCCCTAACTTGTTTTTTTAATTAAAGATTAAAAAATATATCTTTAGATATGGTCTCTCAGTGTCTCAGGGTTCACAAGAAGGCTAGGCTGGCTAGTCAATGAACCCCAAGGTCCGTCTGCTTCTATCCCCCAGTCTTGTACATTGTAAGCCACACTATTCCTCAACTTTTTTTCCCTTCTTTTCCTTCTCATGAGTTCTGGTGATTGAACCAGGTCCTTTGGCTTGTAATCTACAAGCACTTCACGGACTGAACTATCTCTCCAGTTCCAGAGGACTTCCTAGATCCAGAAACCTGGAAAGAATGGGCCGGGCAGTGGTGGCACACGCCTTTAATCCCAGCACTCAGGAGGCAGAGGTGGGCAGATCTCTGTGAGTTCGAGGCCAGCCTGGTCTACAAGAGCTAGTTCCAGGACAGCTTCCAAAGCTACAGAGAAACCCTGCCTTGAAAAAAAAAACACAAACAAACAAACAAAAAACAAAAAAGAATGCCCAAGCACCCATAGGAATCTCTATTAAAGGATAACCTGTTAGCATACTTTTCATCCCAGTCAAGCCCTGAGCCTAGATTTCTTTTGTATAGTCATAGCTATAGAACCTTGATGATTTTGCTCATTTCATTGTGGCACCATTTCCATACTAAACATTCTATAAATAGGGTCTGAAATGCCTGGGAAATATTCCATTGAGATGTAACATGGTTGGCCTTATCACACTGCTTTCAGTTTTCAAAGTATTTTAAACATTGCATGAACACTTTTTGCACTTTGATTTTATTTAATTTTGTGAGGGAGTCTCATTTCGTATTTTAACCTGACTTTAAATTTACTATATAATCCAGCTGACTTCAAACTCAAAATCCTGAGTACTGGGACCACAGGATGGGCTACTACACCTGGCTGTTGTCTGTTTTTAAAGATTTCCTTAGGATAAACCATCTGAAACTAATAGAATAGTAAAAATCAATACTTCTAGGATAATAACTAGATTTAAAGATACCAACCCTGAAATTTTCTTGGTACATATTGTTGATTTGGGGCATACAATTCTATCTACCCAGTAGTGTTACTCTCACCAACTCTTGGTATATACATTAATAATAATAATGTTGATTCATTTAAAGTGTATGGATATCTTATCTGCACGTATGTCTGTACACTACATGCCTCTAGTGCCCATAAAGACCCAAAGAGGGTGTCAGACCCCCTGGAACTGGAGTTACATGTTGCAGACTATTCCTTTATACTGTGTGAAGATCTGTGACTGTGACTGGTTTAATAAAAAGCTGAACAGCCAATAACTAGGCAGAATTTCCAGGCACAGAGGAGTCTGGGAAAAAGAAGGGAAAAGAAGCCAGTTAGATGCAGGACAAATTGGACACACAAAATGGGATAGAGCTAAAAGTCACATGGTAGAACGTAGATTAATAAAAAATAAGGGATATTTTTAACTTATAAGAGCTAGTTGGCTGTACAATAAAAGAACTTCTGGAGGCATCACAATCCCTGACTTCAAACTCTACTACAGAGCTACAGTACTGAAAACACTCTGGTATTGGCATAAGAACAGACAGGAGGACCAATGGAACTGAATAGAAGACCCAGATATCAACCCACACATCTTCGAACATCTGATTTTTCACAAAGAAGTAAAAAATATCAAATGGAAAAAAGAAAGCATATTTAACAAGTGGTGCTGGCATAACTGGATATCAACATGTAGAAGAATGAAAATAACCCATATCTATCGCCATGTATAAAACTCAAGTCCAAATGGATCAAAGACCTCAACATAAAGCCAGCCACACTAACCTTATAGAACATTAAGTGGGAAGTACACTTGAATGCATTGGCGCAGGGGGCCTCTTCCTAAATAGCACAGACACTAAGAGAAACAGTTAATAAATGGGACCTCCTGAAACTGAAAAGCTTCTGTAAAGCAAAGGACATGGTCTACAAGACAAAACGACAGCCTACAGAATGGGAAAAGATCTTCACTAACCCCACATCAGACAGAGGTCTGATCTCCAAAATATACAAAGAACTCAAGAGATTGGACACCAAAAGAACACATAATCCATTAAAAAAAAAACAAACAAAAAAAAACGGAGCATAGACCTAAACAGAGAACTCTCAACAGAGGAATCTAAAATGGTTAAAAGAGAGTTAAGGAAATGTTCAACATCCTTAGTCACCAGAGAAATGCAAATCAAAACAACTCTGAGATTCCATCTTACCCCTGTAAGAACGGCCAAGATCAAAAACACTGATGACAACTTATGCTGGAGAGGTTTTGGGGTAAAGGGAACACTTCTGCATTGCTGGTGGGAATGCAAGATGGTATAACCCCTTTGCATGTCAGTGTGGCAATTTCTCAGAAAATTAGGAAACAACCTTCCTCAAGACCCAATAATACCATTTTTGGATATATATCCAAAGGATGCTCAATCGTGCCACAAAACATATGCTCAACTATGTTCATAGCAGCTTTGTTTGTCATAGTCAGAACCTGGGAACAACCTAAATGCCCCTCAACTGAAGAATGGATAAGGAAAATGTGGTACATTTACACAATGGGGTACTACAGAAAAAAATACCGACATCTTGAATTTTGCAAGAAAATGATGGAGCTAGAAAACATTATTTTTAGTGAGGTAACCCAGACACAAAAAGAAAATTATCACATGCACTCACTCTTAGGTGGTTTTTAAACATAACGCAAAGAAAGCCAGCCTACAAACCATAATCCCAGAGAATTTAGACAACAATGAGGACACTAAGAGAGACTTACATAAATCTAATCTACATGGAAAGTAGAAAGTAGAAAAAGACAAGATCTCCTGAGTAAATAGGGAGCATGGAACCTTGGGGAATGGTTGATGAGGGGAGGGGAGAGGCAGGGAGGGAAGCAGGAAAAAAATGTAGAGCTCAATAAATATCAATAAAATAGAGCTAGTTGGAAATAAGCCTAAGATATTGGTCCAATGTTCATGATTAATATGAAGTCTCCATGTGGTTATTTGGGAGCTGGCTGGCAGGACAGAAAAAGTCTGACTAAAGTTACAGATGTCTGTGGGCTGCCATGTGGGTGCTGGATACTGAACCCAGATCCTCTGGAAGAACAGCCAGTGCTCTTAACCACTGAGCATCTCCCCAACAGCAGAGTCCTCCCCCTTCAAACAAAACAAAGCAAGAAAAACAAAACAAAAATCCCATACAAAGACCTCAGGACAGAAGTGTTTCCAACCTAATATTTTGTGTTCATTTTAAATTAATTAATTAGTTAATTAAAGGCACAGTGCACATGTGGAAATAAAACAATTTTCAGGCTTGTGTGTTCTGAGGACTGAACTCAGGTATGGTGGGGAGTGCATTTTCCTACCGAGCAATCTCTCCAGGTCTGCTGGAATATGGTAACTCTTGACTTCACGTGGTGGAGTGTTTTACTAAAATTTGCTAAGCTATTCCTTATTTTTCTCTTATACATTGTCTGTTCACATCTTTTGCATGATTTTATCTGTCACGGCAGAATATTTTAGTATTTGGCCTTTGAGTTGTAGACGTCTTTTGTATGTATTAAATCTGTTAGCCCTTCAGCACAGCAGAGATGACCCTGGTGGTGTGAGTGCTGGTAAGCTGGCCCTGAGGGTGTGAGAGCAAGAGATGCTCCCCCCCACCCCACTCCTTGAGGTCTGTTGCATTGGCTTAGCTAGCTGGGGTAGTGATGGGGAGCTTGCCTGGTGGTGAGGATGAAGGAGAGCTGGTGGATTGACCAATCAAGAACCAGGTCCAGAACCATGATAAGACTTTTTCTTTTAGATTTTCTTTTTTTTTCGGGGGGGGGGGTGGTGGTGGTCAGAGAGATAAATGGGATGAGGTGCATGGTATGAAATCCACAAAGAATCAGTAACAAGTTAAAGAAAAGATGTTAGTCCTTTATCAAAAATAATAATGCTTAGTTTTTGGTGGAGTTGGAGGTAGGGCCAGGGACTGAATCCGGGGTCTTGTATATGCTAGGCAAGTGTTCTACCACTGAGTTGAGTCTCCCTACTTCCATTTTTAAAATGTAATTCTGGGTAGTGTCATTTTGGTCCTGAACTCACTCTGTGACCAGGCAGGCTTTGATATCGCAATCCTCCTGTCTCAGCTCCTCAAGGAATTATAATTACAAGAATAAACCACCAGGCATAGCCAAAACACATTTATTACTTGCTTTATGATGTAACTGTATAGTGTATCAAAGACTTGAGTTTTCCGGTAGTTAAATATATTCATTGAATTTTTTGTAATTTCTTTTATTTGTTTTATAGTTATACAATCTTCTCTTCACCAAGGATTAAGTAAATGTTAACTGTTTTCTCAGTATGTTTGTTTTCTCTTACCTAAATCTAGTAGGAATTTATGTATGGTGGGAGGGAAGGGTCAAAATGGTTTGTTTCTCTGAACGATTCTTCCCACACTTTATAAAATGATTCCTTCTTTTCTATTGGCTTTTGATTAAAGATAGGGCTGTTTTTAGTAGGCACACCTACCTATCCCTTCCATCTATTTACTTTCTGCATTGACAATATCCTGTTTTG